TGTTGTAACTACCATTCCAGCAGTTACATATTGCTCTCTCCTCCTCACCACCTCTCCCCTCCCGCTCCCACCCTCCTCCTCCCGCTCCCACCCTCCTCCTCCTCCCCCTCCTCCTCCACTCCCACCCCTCCTCCTCCGCTCCCACCCCTCCCTCCCGCTCCCACCCTCCTCCTCCATCCCCACCCCTCCTCCCTCCCGCTCCCCCCCCCACCCCTCCTCCACTCCCCACCCTCCTCCTCCCGCTCCAACCCCTCCTCCTCGCTCCCACCCCTCCTCCTCCGCTCCCACCCCCTCCTCCTCCACTCCCACCCCTCTCCTCCCTCCCACCCTCCTCCTCCTCCCCACCCCTCCTCCCTCCTCCCCTCTCCCTCGCTCCCCACCCCTCCTCCTCCGCTCCCACCCCTCCTCCTCCGCTCCCCACCCTCCTCCTCCACTCCCCACCCTCCCTCCCTCCGCTCCCACCCCTCCTCCCTCCACTCCCCACCTCCTCCTCCCGCTCCCCCTCCCTCCTCCGCTCCCACCCCTCCTCCTCCGCTCCCACCCTCCTCCTCCTCCCACCCTCCTCCTCCGCTCCCACCCCTCCTCCTCCCTCCCGCCTCCTCCTCCCCATCCACCCCCCCTCCGCTTCCCTACCCCACCACACACGCTCCACCTTCACCCTTCGGTAGTACCAATAAACATATGTTATGTATTTCCATAGGGGCAAGGAGGCTCAGAGCATACTCCCGTATTTATCTATTTCTTATAAAATTGGTCCCGTTTAACGTTATTTCATACTCTTGGCATTCTTAGCGAACCCCGACATAGCGAGACTTACTGTATGGTTCCATTTTTTATGAATTTGGAGGGAGTTGGGAACCATAACTGCTGGTTAAGGGTTAAGATCCCTGGTTTCACTTAACTGGTTTCACTGTATTTCTTGTACTTGAAGTCTTCTTATTAGACAATAAACTTCTGTATTTACCCTGAGTTTTGAGACATAGGAAAATATTTCTTTTCTAGATCACTTCACATTACTGAACATCCTTTATTGTTTGGATTACCCTACTGTCTTTGTTAGGTAATTCATCTGCCTCTGAATGCTTAATGCTCTCTCTCTCTCTCTCTCTCTCTCTCTCTCTCTCTCTCTCTCTCTCTCTCTCTCTCTCTCTCTCTCTCTCTCTCTCTCTCTCTCTCTCTCTCTCTCTCTCTCTCTCTCTCTCTCTCTCTCTCTCTCTCTCTCTCTCTCTCTCTCTCTCTCTCTCTCTCTCTCTCTCTCTCTCTCTCTCTCTCTCTCTCTCTCTCTCTCTCTCTCTCTCTCTCTCTCTCCTCTCTCTCTCTCTCTCTCTCTCTCTCTCTCTCTCTCTCTCTCTCTCTCTCTCTCTCTCTCTCTCTCTCTCTCCTCTCTCTCTCTCTCTCTCTCTCTCTCTCTCTCTCTCTCTCTCTCTCTCTCTCTCTCTCTCTCTCTCTCTCTCTCTCTCTCTCTCTCTCTCTCTCTCTCTCTCTCTCTCTCTCTCTCTCTCTCTCTCTCTCTCTCTCTCTCTCTCTCTCTCTCTCTCTCTCTCTCTCTCTCTCTCTCTCTCTCTCTCTCTCTCTCTCTCTCTCTCTCTCTCTCTCTCTCTCTCTCTCTCTCTCTCTCTCTCTCTCTCTCTCTCTCTCTCTCTCTCTCTCTCTCTCTCTCTCTCTCTCTCTCTCTCTCTCTCTCTCTCTCTCTCTCTCTCTCTCTCTCTCTCTCTCTCTCTCTCTCTCTCTCTCTCTCTCTCTCTCTCTCTCTCTCTCTCTCTCTCTCTCTCTCTCTCTCTCTCTCTCTCTCTCTCTCTCCCTCTCCTCTCTCTCTCTCTCTCTCTCTCTCTCTCTCTCTCTCTCTCTCTCTCTCTCTCTCTCTCTCTCTCTCTCTCTCTCTCTCTCTCTCTCTCTCTCTCTCTCTCTCTCTCTCTCTCTCTCTCTCTCTCTCTCTCTCTCTCTCTCCTCTCTCTCTCTCTCTCTCTCTCTCTCTCTCTCTCTCTCTCTCTCTCTCTCTCTCTCTCTCTCTCTCTCTCTCTCTCTCTCTCTCTCTCTCTCTCTCTCTCTCTCTCTCTCTCTCTCTCTCTCTCTCTCTCTCTCTCTCTCTCTCTCTCTCTCTCTCTCTCTCTCTCTCTCTCTCTCTCTCTCTCTCTCTCTCTCTCTCTCTCTCTCTCTCTCTCTCTCTCTCTCTCTCTCTCTCTCTCTCTCTCTCTCTCTCTCTCTCTCTCTCTCTCTCTCTCTCTCTCTCTCTCTCTCTCTCTCTCTCTCTCTCTCTCTCTCTCTCTCTCTCTCTCTCTCTCTCTCTCTCTCTCTCTCTCTCTCTCTCTCCCTCTCTCTCTCCAGATATGTAGGATAGACTCATCAACTAGAATATAAATGTAATGTTGATCACTTTCTTAGTCAAAGATAAGAGGTGTAAGAAGACTAGGATCTCCAGTACTCTCACCTATATTTACTATTTCCCCGGTACAGTACAGTATAATACTCATGTTTCGCTTCATATACTTTTTGTAACAACCCACACCATTTTTTGCACATCTTTAAATCATGAGTGATTGTTTTGGTCATTTGATAACCAAACAAAGATGTGTCACCATAAACACCACAGTTGTTCATTATCTTGGAAGATGTTGACAGTCAATAACAGATTGTCCTTGTTTTGTTTACTTAACCAAAACTTTTAATATGATTTTTCTTAATTAAGATATTAGAACTAGTCAAATCTAATATGTAAAAATTGTCTCTTCTGAACTTATGTCTATTTGCTGTCTTACAATGTACTGAAAGTATCTAAGCATTAGACAGTATTGAAATTAGTTTATGCAATAATTGAAAAGCCTATTGTCTTTGGCTATAATTTGAATTGCTAAATTGAATTTGAAGCTTATAAATCTTGTATCTGTACGTGTAATAGCTGCTTGAACAGTTTGTTGGTGTTCAAAAGTCCATCAAAAATCTCTAACATGCCTGGTATACTTGATTAACACATACCGTATTACATAAAATTCTACTGTAGCTTAGATTTAGACTTAATATTAGTTAAATTGATCATTTAAACTCTGAATTTGGGATGAATATTAATGCTCATATTATCTTTGTATTGCAGTTACTATCAGTATTTGCCATGCCACATCACCAGGATGGCTGGACTTCCCATGTTCATAGTTGCCTCGCAGTCTTGACTCATAGCAGCATCGGATAAAGCATCCTGTCAGGTTAGTCATTTAAGCAATCATCAGATATTTTATGTATTATAATATACACTACAGATATGTAAAGAACATCTAGATTAATAATATTTTCACTCAACCAGTGTCTTATATTTTGTGACAAACATTTTCCTTGTCAGATTTATTGCATTTGGGTCCTCCTGGAACTCTTGATGTAGGGGTCCATATCCGTCATCAATATGGTATCACATTTACGAGGCCAAATTATTGCTGAACTATGCATAAAGAGTCATTGCACTTTAGAGGATTATGAGGGAATAATATCTGTGGAGATGGCATGTTACAGTTGTTACGTAATGAAACTAAAAGTTGTAGAATATTCATTACAACAGCTGTTGTTACCCTCACTCTGGATGCAATTGCATAATTCGTGTTAGGTAGTGGAAGGTGTGTGTGATTTTTGAGGGAGGGTGTGATGTTGAGGTATGTGGGTAGTGCAGAATCCGCCTGTTAAAACAAATTTAGGTAATCAGGGGCTAATGGGGCTGATTACTGCACAATTGTTCTCAAAACCTCCCCCCAAAAAACTCAGTGAAAGTCCAAACCTTTCCCACAGATTGTCCGGACTTTCAAGGGTTTACTGTATTACCAAACCATGCATGCTATAGGGAAACCAAAAACACCAATCTCTTAAAAAAAAAAATGTTTACTACACATTACAGTACAATTTGATAATATTCATAGCATAATGTACGAAAAATAGAAACAAGACATTATGCTTTTGTTTTTTCTTCTGTTTTTCATAATTTATGGCAAAAATATTAGTTATAGCAAATATCCAATTGCATCATTGGAAACCTTAAAATTTTCTGCATCTAATGGTATACAGCTCGAGTTTCAGCCTGGGAAAATTTTTGAGCTAGGAAGTGGGGATGGTGTTTTGGATTTTTGTTTTGCATTAGAAGTAAAAAATCAGAGTTTTATATAGATTTTATTATTTTTTTTTTTACCTTATATGAAAGTAGAAGTAATATTGAGGCCAAAGGTATGAAATTGATGCAAAAAAAAAAATTCATTGGGTCTGAATACAGGCGTTTGAAAAAATTTTTTTTGCATAACGGCACAACACAGTGGAACAAACCTAGATTCTCAGCTATGAGGTAAAAGTTTTATTACATATTATAATTTTATTGTTATTATTATTGTTATTATTATTATTGTTAAAGTTAATATTTTTATTTTATTATTATGACAGTATTTTATTTGAATACAGTATAGTCTGCATTTGCACGGTCATTGAACCCGTGGAGGTCCGCGTAAAACGAGAAACGCGTAAATGAAATAACAGAACATATGGGATTAATTGAAATAGAGATCACACCCCAAAACTCATCTTTTTCCGACATAATACGTGACGCTAGAAAATAACATCTTAATTTTATGATGGTATGCACACACAATTAATAATTAAGAGAAATATCAATAATATTAGGTTTTAACACTTACGTAGTAGAAAAGCTACGGGTACACGGATGGCGGTTGGTTCCTGCAAGCAGAGGCAGATTAGTTGCCCGCAATCACTTTCACTACTAAGAGGTTTGCAGGGCCTCCCAGACAAACCCTTCAAAGTCCATATCCTCACTGTCACTATCACTATCACTGACTTGGGCTGGGGTTGTGGTGGGTTGCATGGTGAAGTCCTTAATACTACGTTGACGACTAGCATTGATGTTGTCGAGATAGATCTGGATATATGGCTCCATAACTTTGACAGATGGTTATTAGACGCTCATACCGATGCTTGTCTGGGTCGTTGTCAAGATGAGCTTAATTTTCTCCCCCAACTCGATGATTTCCTTCACATTATCATGGCTTGGTCCAGGTAATTCAAGGTTTTTCTGTGGAGCGGAAGCTTAATAGAGGGAATAAGGGCACGAGAGAGAGAACTGTATACGTGACTGAGAACAATGAGACAGGTTCAAGCAGCCATTTACTCTGGTGGCAGGCACGTCATGTTACATTAGACCAACAGCTAGCGCGGAGGGATGGCGGTGGAAGATGGTGGCCCAATCACAGTCCGACACGCTATAGGACGTCAGCGATAACGAAGAGCGGCCTAATGCGCACAACTCACAGCGCCGCCTTCGCAGATGGTCAAGAATGGACCGGTAAATGCGCCGGTCTGGACGCTCCAGCCGCCGCGCAATGAATAACTCATTCAATTAAAACATTTCACTCTGGCAAGGCACAGCGAAATGACCTAACACGAACAAACCCGGGAACCAGACTATACTGTACAGTAAAACCCCTTCATTCAAAAGATGGGGTCTAGCTTCTAATATATGAGATTTTATGAAATATGAAGAACACCTTCTCTAAAAGAAACCAAAACACGATAGTTTCCTTCATCTGCCCCAGGTTATTCTTAAATTTTTCTAAGACAGTACCATATGAGGCTGGTCCAGGATATTCAGATATAATGTTTTCCAATGATGGAAGAAAAAGTAGACGGTACGTGCAGGTGTATATGTGCATTCCACAACTGACCAACGTGAATTGACCAACACGCTTGATCCGTACAGTACAGTACTGTATTACAAAGTTTGTAGCTAATATTTCGTAACAGCAAAACATTACAAATTATCAGTCATTTCGAACTTGAGGGGTACAAATTATGGAGTATTATTGTATGGTAGTATAGTACAGTACAGTAAATGAGATATTTGAGAAGGGGTTGAGTAGAGGGTTCATTATATAGCAAATTCGCTCAGTATTAGGAGGTAATACTGGAATATGAGGAACGGTTTGGTATACTGTACAATGAATTTCAGTACATAGAAGTTTGGTATAGAGAGGTAATACTGTACAGGTTTTTTCATTCCTAATATTTTTAATGGCATTTAAAATTGCTTTCTACCATATTGATAATACTGGTACTGTACTTAAATGTGTATGACACTGGTATATGTGTATGGGACTTTACAGGTGGCCCAATCCAATGTATCTAGGAGCATATGGGGGAGGACTCTTTTCAACGATTGCTTGCTACTTTATAGGGATTGAAGCACATCGACACGAACCCATCATCATCTCGTTAATAATTTGGACCACGATACTCTTTCATCTCATTATCTTCTATAAGCTAGTCACAGGTAAGGGTATTGTATTTGGATCTATTATAACATACATTTTGCCTTTTATCCCATTTAAGGCTTTCACACTGATGATCTAGTAAGCATATTGTCATAAATACTGAAACTGGATCAGTACCCCAGCATTTTTGTCTTTGGATGCTTGTCAGAAGCATATACAATTATGTAATTTCTAATAGAAATATTTATCTTTTGTGAGAGTTAATTTTGTTTTGTTTTTACTTTTTTTTAGACTCAAATAATTTATAGATGCTTGAGATACAACATCATAACCACAAATGTTGTGTTGGTCCATCAGTAAAAGGGATTATCAAGTTTTTGGACTAAGTTGTGTTGCTTGGTGAGCCTGGCTGCTTATATGTGTGGTAACAGTGTTTTTTGAGAAAATACGCGGATTAGAAATGTTAATGAAAAATGTATTGTAACTCACAAGGTGGCCAGAATCAAGAGAACACAGACATAATAATTCCTCAATAATTTGGACTTTTATTATCTGGATATTGATTGATCTGGACAGAATCCGCTCGACCCAGCGACTGTCCAGACTCCCCACGTGTTACTCCTGCCGCTCCCACACTCCTCAGTCTCTGTCTGTTTACATCACTTGTCACGGTGTTGCCCAAATATTAATTTCTAGTTCCTCAACCTCCTTTTTAAGCCATTACAATGGCATCTAAGAAAAGTGCAGGGGAACAAATAATTTTAATTAAGGTTTTAGTGATAAACTAAAGATAATTGAGTGATTAGAGGCAGGCTCGTCAGTGCCATCGATTGTTGATGAATTCGTATCGCTAAGCAAACTGTTTTTGGGTAAAAGAAAACTCAGGAATAGAATGATTCACATAGTCTACATCTTTTAAAGGCTCTATGTCACCAGCACGGCCTTCATCATTGTCATCATTCAGCCTGGGAAGAGTATTTACAGTATATATATATATATGTTATTGTAGAGTTATTTTTAATACAGTATCTAACATTGTAGTAACTGTCCAGTGCAAGCCACGTGCTATCCACTTTAGACAACATCAGCTGATCCCTTGTACTACAAACCCTAAAGTATGGCACCTCGACAATTAAAGTTATCTATTTTTTTTAATTATATTTCTTATTTATGAATGAAAATACTGTATCTACACTATTGCTGAATAATGCTGAGTGATTTTTAATGTTCTTAATATTATTCTCATAAACCTATCTTACATTTCGTAATGGAAACTAATGGGAAAATATAATATAAAATTTTCTGCATTACAATGAAGTTCACAACATTACCCCCATTATACTGGATGATATTGCTGTGTACTTCCCCACCCTACAAACATGTACAGAGCAATATTAATTAAAGCTATTTTTATTACTGGGTGTTTCCCACCAGGTTATGTTAATTGGCTCATCCGGACTCCCCTTCCTCCCTATATTCTGAATTATCGAGGGTCTTCTCTATTGTCTCATTCACTGCTAGTGCATTCTTTCTTGTTGCCTCACCAGATTTGTTTTCCTCTGTTGTCTCCATTCACATATTCAGTCAAGGTGCCATCTTCAGGTCTTAGGGGTGGTGGCCATAGTCCATCACTTGAAACATTTTTGCGTTTTCTTTACCAATCCCAACTTTCAACTTCATTAATTTAATCTAGTCAACTTGATTGTAGTCTTGTTTTAGCACCTGAACTCTGCTGTTAAGGAAGCTGAAATATGGCAATATATGTTTTCAAGGCTGACTCCTTGAGGCTTATGCTGGGATCCTGGTATCTTGGTTGTCAGACCATTGACTTGTTAACTGTGCAGTACTTGAGTTACCTGATCCATGTTTAGTTATAAAGTCAAATTTTAGGACCATTCACTCAATTTCTAAAGAAAATAAATTTGTAAAATTACTTTTCAGGTGACCCTGGAATAGTTAGAGCAGAGGGACCTCTTCAGGAAGTGTTGCGAGGTGTGGGTGAGGGGGTAGTCTGAGGATATTGTTCTGAGTGCCAGTTGGCCTCACCTCCTCTCTCCCACCACTGTCGTCTGTGTGTGGAATGCCACCACCAGACAGACCACCACTGTCTCTTCCTTAATACTTGTGTGGCAGCAAACAATCACTGGCACTTTGTAATGTTCATTGTGTCACACATAATTCTTATGGTTGGATTTTTGCAAGCAGCATACAGAGCTACCATACCTCAGACTTCTCAAGGAGACTGGGTTGACCATTTAGTGGCACATGTATGGTACCTAATGGATGAAAACATGTGGACCCTCCTCATGATGCTGTGCAATGGAGCCTCCTTGATATGGGCCTTTCATTTTTGGGGGTGGATTACAATATCTTTTTCTTATATATAGCGGTTTCTGCCTTCATTTATTTATGTTAAGTTAGGTGTTTATTGAACGTTAATTATATGCATTGGAGGAGAGAGCTGAATGTTCAGTAGGTGAATAGAGTAGTATTTAAAGGTGTAGTAAAGGTAAAGGGCTGAGGAGGTTGTTTTTTTTAGCGAATACAAAGTTTGTCTGCCTTCTGTAAATATGGTAAAACATTTTTGTTATGTTTAATAAAATATTTTCAAAATATTTGGCGAAAGATTTGGCAAGGGGGATCACCTGAAGATTAGACTTCCCAGTTTATTTCACTGGAAGATTAGCCTTCTTAACTCTTTAATTAACCCCCAGGTAACAATATTAATATGAAAATTGCCCTACACACACACACACACAAAAAAAAATGCTCAGAAATGTTTTCATTTTGGTATTATGGATTCAAAAATAGTGTATGGAGACGAATTCCTATATGGGTCATCTAAATGGGGTAGTGGACTGTCAAAGATGGATCACTTCACCCTCTCTGACAACACCTCCAGATGAAAAAAAAATTAAATGTTAGGTAATTTTTGGATTTATCCATAAGTACAAAATAGTTTCTAGAGTGTGTAAATATTGTACAATTATCCCTCGAGATACTTAACGTTTTAGGTATTCCTAAATTGACGCCACTCTTTCGTGTTATGAAAGCTTTCACTGCTTATAATGAATTTGGGTCCCGGCAAAAATTCAAATCACGCACCCCTGGGAGTCAGCTGGGGCGGCCACATCCCCCTAGCACTCTCCCCACCAAGCTGAGGATGTTTGGGTTATTTTTCAACTTGTAATTCTGGTATATACAGTAAATATAACTTCATATTTTTTTTCATTCCATTACATGCAGACAGAATCCTACATACAGAATAAAAAATAAATAAAACAATACATAATTATCCTGAGGTCAAAAGATAAAAGGAATAAACATTTCTTATGTGCATGGGACTTATCACACAGCGAAGTAGATATACATAATTTTTAATTTTTTTATACTGTTACATGCACACACAATTGGTCATACAGATTGTGCAAAAATAATATAATTATCATAAGGTCAAAAACATAAAGGAATTAAACATTTATTGTGGTGCTATCTTGTGTTAGTGACAAGACTGTCAAATGGCAGCATTTTTATTATTTTTATTTATTCCTCAATGTCAACTAATGCACTATTGGTTGGCAAGCTGGCAATCTGCAAGAATTCTTCACTGACTTTCCTGGGTGAATGTTGCGTTTCCACTTCGATGCCTCGCATGTGCTGACAGCATTGCTGGGGTTATACAGGACTGCAGTGAGGCATTTATCCCATCTTCTACCAAAACTTTCACTTACAATCATGGTTTGATAGCTCCTGCTCTCTTGCTTGCAGGGTGAGAGATAGGCATATCGAGCTATGAAACTATTCCATCTTCTTTACCCACACCTCTTTCATTACTTCCAGGAATCTTTGTAAGGCTATTCTTCAGAGGGCTAAGCGAATTTTATAAAAAGAAAGACCGCTGTCCTGACTAATTCTTCCTTTATTAAATCCTTCTGGTCTTTAACCAAAGACATCTGAAACAACTCCTGCACTCCTTCTTTTTCCTCCTCTTCCTACCTGATAACTCTATAGCCAACTCTCCCCTGACAAAGCCAATCTCTTTGGCACCTTATTCCTCTAATTCCATCTAGACGATTCCCACTTATCCTCCTACCCCTGCACCTCCTACTGAACCTATGCACTTCCTATAATCTCCACTCAGAGGGTTGCCGTGTTATCCAGGTTGGATGAGTAAGGCGCGTGGACCGGACGGAATACCCTCATGTTCTGAGGGAGGTGCTGGTCTGGCCCCTGTGCTTTGTCCTTTTTCCTTGCCTCAAAACCCAAATCCGCTTGCTGGTTCAGCCCATCCCAAGAAAGGTGACCATTCTAATCCCTCTAACTATCGCCCCATTGCCCTAATTTCATCCCTCTTAAGATTTTGAAACTATCTTGAACTCCCATTTTCTCCGTCACCTTGAACGCCTTTCTCTTTTGTCGGATCACCAGTATGGCTTTCGCCAGGCGATCTACTGGTGATCTGCTCTCCTATTGCACCCATCTTTGGTCATCCTCTCTTAGGGATTATGGGGAAACTGTCAGGCTCGACATCTCCAAAGCATTTGACAGGGTATGGCACAAGTCTTTGCTTTCTAAGCTTCCTCTTATGGTTTCTTCCCCACTTTGTTTTCTAATTTCTAGCCTTGAGAACCGATCCATGGCAGTTGTTGTCGAGGATCGATCTCGCCTTTCTCTACTAGTAGTGTCCCACAGGGTTCTGTTCTTTCACCTACTCTCTTCCTTCTTTTTATCAATGATTTACATCACACTACAACTAATTCTATCCGTTCTTATGCTGATGATTCTACTCTTCACTCTTCTTCACATTTTCCCCTTCCTCCTAACTCTCAAACTAGATCAGTTTCTAGAGCTGATATCATTACTTCTATCAAAGTGGATCTGTGCAGCATCTCTGAATGGGGAGATGGAAACTTGGTTAAGTTCAATAGTAATATAACTCAATATTTACCATTTACACTTTGTAAATTAGACGATCTCCCACCAATTACATTTCAGGACGCTATTATCCTGCCAAATTCTGAATTAAATATGTTAGGCCTCACCATTTCCTCCAATATGTCCTGGAAATCACACATCCTTAATATAGCAGCTGCCTCCGAAAGTTGGGAATGCTGTACAGATGCCATAGCTACTTACCCTGAGCAGTTGCTGCAAGTATATAATGGATTCATATGTCCTAACTTAGAGTACTGCTCTCATATTGGGGTGGCTCTTCTTCTGTCCAACTATTAAATAGGGGAATCAAAGGCATTTCATCTTATTAACTCTCCTCCATTAGTCAACAATTCTTCCCTTTCTCTTCGCTGCAATGTTGCTTCACTCTCTCTTTTACAGGTACTTTAATGGGCAATGGTGGATTTCACATCCTGTGTACCATGGGGCAATGCCGGGGCTCGGATCACACGCCTTGCCCGTGCCCACTGCTTTCTGGGATGTCGGTCACACGAGAATAACCCGTTATAGTACTCCTCCTTCTCACACAGCCAAAGTGTGAAATGCTCTGCCTTCTGTGTTTCCATACTTATACAATCTGTCTCACTTTAAAAAGCTGGTTTTCCGCATCTTCGTGGTGTAGATTAGCACAGTACCTGTATAACCTTTTCTTTTTTTCGATTTCTTTCTGTTTCCTCCCCCAGGCCCCCCTGTAGGGCTGTTTGACCAGTGCCCGGGTGGGCAAATTCCCGTAAAAAAAAAAAAAACATTTACTGGTACAGTATAAAGTATTTTATGTACAAGGAGTAAGTTCTTCTTCATGCAAATCATCCTCTGGGCATCATGACACAACTTCAAATGCTTAGCCTGGCAGTCATGGGACAGGCAGAACCTCTCACATATCCCACATGGGTGTTATGCCCTCACATAAGGGAATTTACCTAAATTAACCAGTATTTTTTTTTTTTTTCAAATGTTAGTTAGTAATTTCATATACAGTATTAGATAGTAAATTAGGGTAGTTGTGAACTATTGGTCATTAGTTTGGTAGGATTATGTTCTTATTTGTGAACCAATTTTGTTTTTAGGTATGATATAGGGTATTTTTCTTATTGGGAACCAAACTCTTTTTTCCCCATACATCTTTCTATTCGAGATAAGAAATTCACCTACCAATTTTTTTTTAATTGACCTGCACATGCCAGTAGTAGACTGGTGAAAAAAAATGATGTGTAGGAACATGAGAAACAGAATTATAGGCAGTAATCTTCCTGTTTGCTGGACTCCCCAATCCCTGGAACTCCCAATACTGTAGTTGGAATGAAATATGGTCGTGAAATTTTTTCGAAAGCTCTCGCTCCATTCTGGGGATGAAAATGAGGTGCATTTTCCAGGAAAATTCCGAGAAAATTTCACCAAACCCTACTTACTAGCTTAAAATTTTCCATGGACAAAACTGTACACCATATACAGGTTGTACCTTTCTAGTCCGGCATTCTGTGGTCTGGAAACTCCCGTGGTCTGGAACGATTTTAGTTTGTCCAATAGGTAGATAGGCAGCTTTTTTTTTTTGGTTTTTTTATCCTGAATTATTATTATTACAGGAGTATTAAATTTTTGCCTCAGGCCCCAATGTGGGTCAGTGACCTAGTCCGGTTGGGCTAATCTCAGAAAAAACCAGCAACAAAGCCTTTGGAAATTAAGGTTTGTTTACATCCGCAGTTCGCTGTCTCTCTCTCTCTGCTTGTCTCTACAGAGTACAACATTTAACCCTTCAATATATATGAGCAGTAAATAAGTGTTGCTTTCATATTCTTATGTAGAGTAATGATGATATGTCACATGTGTGCACTTACTGTACATACGCTCAGTCTCACTTTTTTTTTACCATTAATGGTTAGCTACTTATATTGTTCAATTTATTAACATTAAATAACATTACAAGTACTTCAAACAACCATATTAATTTTTACATTAATTTTACTACAGCTACAATCAGGGTCTTATTTTCTTCAGTTTTATATGTAGAACCAATCAGTCACTGGTTTTGTAAGCTTTAACATAAACAATGCGGCAGCCGTCACGCCTTCTCGTGTGTTTTAATATTCCACGATATTAATAAATTGTATTGTTAATTTTGCACACACAAACATAATTAATAAAAACAAATTCAGAAACATTAATTAAAATATATATGAGCAGTAAATAAGTGTTGCTTTCATATTCTTATAAAGTAATGACGATATGTTTTCAATGCAGTGCACTTACATAATGCGATTCTCCTTTTTCTTTACCATTATCGTTAGCTACTTTTATTGTTCCATTTATTAACATTAAATAACATTACTTAAAACAACCATATTAATTTTTCTACAGCAACAACCAAAGTCTTATTTTCTTCAGTTTATATGTAGAACCAGTCAGTCACTGGTTTTGTAATCAACGAATACAATGCTGTGTCATTTCCTCTGTGTTTTAATATTCTATGTATTATTAATGAATTGTATTGCTCATTTTGCACACATAAACATTAATTCAATAAAAGAGACATTCAGTAATAAACAATAATGAATCTTTTGTACATAAGAGAAATGACGCTGTTTTACACGATTATGCACGCTGTCTGCACGCTACGGCCGTTCAAACCCGGTCGAAATTCAAGTTTCGCTGTAAAAATTTTTATTTTTTTTTTTGTGTTCCAATCAAATACGTTGAATTAAAACTCGAGAAATTTGAGAAGCTACTATACGACAATTAACCCTTCAATATGTCGTCAAAGAGACCATGATGCAGAGAAGTGGTGCTAGTAAGCCCAAGCATGCCAAGTCACTATCTATCCAGGAAAAGGGTGAATTTCTATAGTCCGCAACCGGTCAGGTCCCGAGGTTGCCGGACTAGAGAGGTACAACCTGTACCACTAGATACAAACAATTACGAGGTTTCTAATGGTGCAATCGGGTTTTTCCTACTACACTTTTGCTGTAAATTAAAAAAAAAATCTTAGCAACAAGTATAAATTTTTTTTGTACACATGCTATGGATATTATAAGATTGTATCGTAAGTGTAGTAACTTTTTTTCTATGAGATTGGGGTTTACAAAAAAAAAAAGAGTACTTTAACTTTCCTTCTCTCCCTTACTGCATACAAAATGATAAAACCTGTGATCATTATATAAACCTCAATGACTTGTGTGGGTCTGTAGGATACATTGTGAAGGTCGAGTAAGTCTCATTCATCATCGGTCTCATTGTAATTGCACATCATAACTTTAAGTTTAGTTTTATTATTGATTACCTTAAATTTTTTCATGCAGAAAACATTATTGCTACATGTTTAACTAATTATTTGTTATTTACTATAATTTTAAATACTGTAGTAATATGTTTACACAATGTATTGTCGTCCATCCTTAACATCTTGAGAGTAACTGAGTCACAACAAGTGTTATTGCCCCGGTATCCTCGTGATTGGCAGACAACGTGCTGCTCGTGTTGACATTTATTGAAAGGGTAATACATTTTTCATCAGTGTATCGACTTTTTTCATTTGAAATTTATTTAGTAAACTTTTTGAAACTTATTTAATGTTACATACAATATTAAAAACCACATCTCCACTAATCATCCACATCATCTCCATTACACACCCACATTATCTTCACTACATCTCCACTAAACATCCACATCATCTCCATTACACACCCACATTATCTTCACTACATCTCCACTAAACATCCACATCATCTCCATTACACACCCACATTATCTTCACTACATCTCCACTAAACATCCACATCATCTCCATTACACACCCACATTATCTTCACTACATCTCCACTAAACTTCTACATCGTATCCACTACACCTACTTCCTCTCACATTTGCACGTCAGGATTTGAGAACCTTCAAGAATCTTAGGTGAGCTTGTAGAACCTTAGGAGAGACCTGTGGTTCTCCTAGCTCGCAAAATGGTGTGTGCAGATGCATGTGTTGCAGTTCTTGGTTTAAACTGAAAAAGACCTAACTATTTAAGAAGCCAGATGCGCTATTAACAGCCACCCACTGACTCAACACATTTTTTCTTGTTTTATATTCTTATATTTTCTTTATTTTTAGATCACATTAGAGTGATAAAATTATTTTTCCACAACTTATATAGGTCTTTACATATAACAATGGCAACATGCATAGCCATCTTACAGGACACAGCTGACTGATGTTGTGTAATATGTTTTGAGTTGCGCACTTTGTTCTGATTGACTGAAATCAAAACAAACAATGGTGTTGCATTCTTGATGGATTCCAATCCTGTTCATTAGTTTTCTTTTATTTTTACTATTTTTCGAACTTAGGTCGGACTGGGATTCATTCTCATATCAAATATTATAGAAATTAACGTAAACTACGGTACAGTATTTACCATAACTCTCACAAGATACATTCGTACAGATGATGTATGATGTTTTGTATTGTTTTATCAAACTATATTTTATATACTAACTAAAAAATCTGATGATGTGACAATTTATCTGAACTAAAAATACCAAAGTTTTTCATGTACAGTACAATATACTGAACAAAGTTAAGTATTAGACAAATTTTCTCGAATTCGTTCTATATGTATCGAAACCTCCCAATGTTGAACTGGTTGCTCACCAATTATTTTGGTATAGAGATGTAATGCTGTATGGTATTGCAGTAATCAGTTTCAGATGTAATAATTTTCCATTTTCCTTTGCAGCAATCAGTTTCAAGTTATAGGATCACAGCAGACAACTCTTTGCCGACTTAAGTTAGGAAACCCTCTGACAAAGCCAACGAGAAGAGAGAAAATGAAGAATGTGTGGAGCTTTCTTATCCGTGGCAGAGTTCCTTTAAGTAATCAGACACATTACTTTAATCAGGTGTAGTTGTAAAAAGTATAAACCCCCTTGTGTATGATGACGACACCTTGAGTACAATGACTTAACCCCTTGAATATGATAACTTAATTTTTCAGATATGATACTAGTCTCTTGAAGATGGTAATTTAACCTTTTAAGTAAGATATATGACTTGTACTAAAGGGTTTAATGTCAGTACTCAGGGGGCTAAGCATAGAACTCAGGTGTTAATTATTGTAGTCAAGGGGCTAAGTCATATTGAAGGAGATAAAGGTGTTGTGTAAATTTGTAGTCTGTGGTAATTGCTGTGAGCATGTACTTGATTATATTTAGTGATTTAAAGGTACAATCAGTTTTTACACAATTTTTTTACAAGATATGTTTATATGTACATTTTTTAGCATTTGTATGGTTCAATTTCTGTATGAGCTGGTGGTCATCTTCAAAAGAATCAGACCCATAGTTATACATTGTGCTAAATGGTATGTTGGGATCTTAGAAAATAATCAGTGATTAAAATTACATTTACTTGCAAATTTCACAAATTACTGGTCTTACAATGACTTGCTTGACCTTGTGAATATAAAATGCCAATGAAAGATAACTTCAGTGTGTTTACGCTTTGTGGTGGTTGATGTTGTTCTAGCTGAGGAAAAATATATATGTAGTGTTGGAATTTAGGTGAAAAGATCTGAAACTATGAGCATTTACTTTAACACCAACTTTTATAATTTATTTTAATTAAGTAATACAATGTCCAGCAATATACAAGTAATGTGGCAGGTGAACAGTGAAAGTACGTACAGTACAGTACAATGCTGTATACAGGAAGACCACTTATAGTTAATATTACATTAAAAGATTTGAAAACTAAACCATATCTCTGGGTTATAAGTTCCATTAATCTTGTACACTGACTGTAGAAACAAAAATACATGTTGGCACACAATATCTTACCAATGGTAGAAACACAAAATGTTTCATTCCCCAAAATTCCACACATCTTAAGTGTTAACAACTATTCAGTGACATAGCCTTTCCAAATTACTACAACCTATGATATCTTGTTTATGGTGGTGATGATGATCATTGTTTTATGGTCACTTACCACACTTGTGTGGGTTAACCATGATTACTGTACATGATGGCAGCTGTCCAGGCTGCACAGTCACTTGTAACCTCTTTAGTCAGGGGCTTGTCCCCAAGATCATTTATCGCAATCTCTCCCTTTTTCATTCTTGGCCTACCTATAACTCTCAGGGATGTGATTTCTGCATTTTTTTCCATTTTTCCTTTTTTTCTTCCCCATTGTTTTAGGCGACCCACTTGAATCGTGCAGATCCGTTGAGATTTGGGGAATGACCATGATGAGAAAAAGCTTGACAATAAATAACAATAACTGACTCTCTAGGGCCGCACTCCACATGTTCATGCTTTACTGTAGGGTTGGGATATATCACGACATAGAGTCCAAGGATGTTTGCCATACGTATGCTAAATCGCGATATACTGTACAGTATAATTACTTGTAATCAATGGGGAAAATAGGGTTAGGTTCTGGAGGCCAATAAAAGTGACTAAACTTGACTTATCGAGTTTATTTTCTTACTAACTAAAGCACTAATGAACACCAGACTCGGCAGCAGATGCCACACTGTCACCCTCACTTGACAATCCCACACCTATAAAAACGAACAAACCAAAAATATTAGTTACAGTATTAAATCTTTTCCATTAAGCTTTTCATTCTCTTCGCTTTTCACGTCACTAGCAACCCATTAACACTCACCTTAGAAGTCGGAATCTGCAGCAGAGTTGGCTGCTGACTCATCACTCACGCCGTTCGACTCACAGCCAGCCTCTTTCTCGTCACGCGACAACTGCGTGCCTGAACACAGAACTGTAAGTTTGAAATATTTTCTGCCCGATTTCCCTTGCAAAATAAATAGATTTATCACTATACAGCTCCTCCCCGACTTACAACCTACTTGACTTGCGACCACCCGGACGTACGACCGCTTCAGTTGTACCAAAATTTTGTCAAATTACGTATTTTCGAGTCCCAGCGTCAGTGATTGCGCTGTGTAATGACAAAATTTTCTTTTGTAATTCACTTTAAAATGGCTAGCAAGCTTAAAAGTGAGAGTTTTGTGGTGCTGAGAAGAAAAAGAGACACCCATTTTAAACCTGGATTTGGGTCCCTAACCTCGTCATAAGTTTGGGAGGAGTTGGACTGTATTGGAAATTGTCGATAATTTTGGTAGTCGCTATATAAAAAAATCTTTATAAAAAATCGCTGTATATGCCGACCCTACTGTACTCTATTTCTCATTGGCCGAGTATTGCTTGTTTTGCATTCCATTCTTCTATTCTTTAGTATTTCATTGATCAAAGATCAATGACGTCATACGACGCCAAAGGAGCTAAGCATTTTTCAATACTGTATAACTAAGTTTCTATAATCAGTTTACACTTTCTGATTTTCACAATTTATTCAATTCAATTTTCAATTTCAATTGTTTATTCCTTGAAAGAAGAAGCGGGATCCTAGTGCTGTCACTAGGTACCCATGTACAATGACACCAGAAGCATCTGGCAAGTGTGACAAGTATATACAGTATAAATATTATAAAGGGGCTTACTAAAGCCTAAGGAAGGAAGGATATTCCTTTAACACATAATCAATGTTATTTACATAATATCTGACCAGTATGGGGAGGATCAACGTGTCTCCGTCGGGGTCGTGGAGTGGTGGTCCAGCAGGTGTCACGGAAGCGTTGTGTGTGGGTGATCCCACAATTTATTCTGTAACCCTTGCCATATTTCATAGTTTTATAGGCAATTCAGTATTTGTTTACTATTTCTTTCAATAAATCGACAAAGCAACTATCTACAGTATGTGTATCATAACTGGAAGGCTTCTAATTTCACAATATTCCTTTGTCAAGGATATAGTGAAATTAGAAGCCGTCCAGCGTAGAGCAACAAAGATGATACCTTTATTATGTTACAAACCCTATGAAGAGAGGTTGGAGGAATTAGTCTTGTTTTCATTAAAGAAGCTTCGACTCTGGAGTAGATTAATCAAATGTTTTAACATATTTAAAGGATTCACCAACATTGACCCAAACAAACTATTTATACTTGATGATAACTCGTGTACGAGAAGTAATGGGATGAAGCTAAGATGCCGACAGGTACAATTCGACTCTACAAAATATATTTTCTCTAATGACATTGTTAGAGAGTGGAATAAGCTTCCAGCTTCAATTATTCAAAGCAATACAATTAACATTTTCTAAAAACACCTCGATCGCTACTTCTCTGACAAAAATACTCGCCCCTATTTATATTTTTTATTTGTTTATTTATTTATTTATTTTTTTTTTTTTTTAGGGGACATCACCTTGAATGGACCTAAGGGTCTGTGTATTTTTGTGTTTCTTTGTAAATCTATGTATATATCAACAGGTATGTCATACATCTTCTTTATTTGCTTATAGGAGCTTCCATCTGTTTCTCATTTCTCAATGTAATTGGCTTAAGTCATATGACATTATTGGCTGCCAGTGCTTGGTATTTTCCCCAAGATCTTGGTATTTTGGCCAAAGCCTTCGGATTGAGTTTTATTTATGAAACTACTGGTACAAGTATTCTTGGCATTTTTAGTTTCATCATAATATTTAACATTAATCTGAATTATCACTACAAAATAATACCACTCATAACTGGAGATTACTTGCAACTCATTTAAGGGACGGCACACGGTACACGAACGGTTCTTGTATCTCGTGACGACCCGTCTGGACTCTGTACCACCGCAACTGTGCTAGTCTCTTTTTGGTGAGGTGGAAGCGAGGACACATATTCGTGGTTTATCACTGGCAATACCTACTCTTGCCTTCGGTACAGTAGTTGTTTGGATTAGCCTTGCCAACTTAGTGATTTTCTTTTATCATATGCCTAACATTACGTTATGGTTAGGTTTGATAATATTGAGATTATATTTTTATTATAAACATCTGACTGTGGGAGCAAAATTTGTCTGAAGCTATAGCTAGATTCAAGGGAAATCAAGAAATACTGGAGTTCATGAGGTAATGTTTTTGTGGTACATTAAGGTGTGTGATATGGACATTTCAGAAAATGTTTTGTACATCAGATATTGTGGCACATATGGTGTGTGTTGTGGACAAGTGTTTACTACCAACACCATAAAGAGAAGGAAACAGAAGCAAAGAGGAGAGACAGATACCTGCACATGGGGGGAGAAGGTGACCATGGTGATACTCTACCACTTGTCTTCCTTCAATAGTTTCATTCTGGTGTTCATGAGTGTTCTTTTTCCTTTCATTAATTTGGAAAGTATTGTAGAAATTGTTAAAATTTTTGGTATTTCTAAAGATTTTTAATGATTCAATTTCGGGAAATTTATATTTTTTGGCTGGCAACGCTGTGCCATGCAGTTATTCGGACTTAAATCACATGAACCGGCTTATCTGAGTGGAAAATAGAATATTGAGTAAAGTGATTGTGAATGGTGGAATATCACAGATGCACTCATTGCTAATGGAGGTCCAGGGAATTATATACAGGTTGTACCTCTCTAGTCCGGCAACCTTGGGACCTGACCGGTGCCGGACCATGGAAATTTCCGGACCATGGAAATTCACCCTTTTCCTGGATAGATAGTGACTTGTGCTTACTTTTGGAAGCACTAGCACCACTTTCACTGCTTCGTGGTCTCTTTGAAGATATATTGAAGGGTTAAATGTTGTACAGTAGGTTCTCAAATTTTGGGAGTTTTTAATTCAACGTTTTTTTATTTGGACACAAAAAAAAAAACACTATGCAATTTAAAATTTTGACGGCGGAAACTCGAATTTCGACGGGTTTGAGCGGCCCGCCAATGTTCAGACGTGCACAAATCGTGTAAACAGCGTCATTTCTCTTATGTACAAAAGATTCATTATTGTTTATTACTGAATGTCTTTTTTATTTAATTAATTTTTATGTGTGCAAAATGAACAATACAATTCATTAATAATATGTAGAATATTAAAACACACGAGGAAACGAGATGGGATTGTTTTCATTGATTACAAAACCAGTGACTGACTGGTTCTACGTATAAAACTGAAGAAAATAAGACCCTGGTTGTAGCTGTAGTAAAATTAATGTAAAAAATTAATATGGTTGTTTTAAGTAATGTTATTTAATGTTAATAAATAGAACAATATAAGTAGCTAACCATTAATGGTAAAGAAAAAAGTGAACTTACGTATGTACAGTAAGTGCACACATGTGAAAACATATCGTCATTACTATACCGAAGAATATGAAAGCAACTCTTATTTACTGTTCATATATATTTTAATTAATGTTACTGAATTTAAAGCAAAAATTCTACCCACCAGTGGTGGTAAAGTTGAAAACATAAGGACAGCCAATGTTGTTGAGTGTGTTTTTACTCGGATGACGTATGCTCAACTCTAGTTGAAGCTGTAGAACATAAGAACTTTCTGTGTTGTTTTTAGTTTTTATTTAATTTTATCTGTTATTTTTGTTGGTTTATTAGAATGTTGCTTTATTACAGATAGTAATTCGCCAAAAAAGTAGGGTAAATGAGACAAAATTTAGCCAAATATCGAAAGTACCAGACTCAAATTAATTTTCTCCATGGGCAAACTAAAATCGTTCCGGACTACGGGAGTTTCCGGACCACAGAATGCCGGACTAGAGAGATACAACCTGTAGTTAGATACATGTTTATGCAAATATATTGTACATGTGGCAGTGCTGTTGCTGCAGCAACATTACTGATCATCTGTGTCTGTAGCCTCAATGAAGATATCTCGATAATTTTTTTTTAAAGAAACGGTTAGAATCAAAGAAAATAAAGTGTGAGGAAATGGCTCAAAAATAAGGAAGAGCAGAGAGGCCTTCCAGCAACAAAAACAGAAGTGTTTAC